ACTTCTTTGGTCGTCGGCCAGCACTCTGCGCCGTATATGGCCACGGGGCGCACCACAGAGTTATAGATTTTCGCCTTCAGGCGCATCGGCATCTTCTTGTCACAGAGGACGCCCGTGACGGACTTCCATTTGCCCCACGCTGCATTGATCCTGGCTGCCACCTCAGTTTGTAGTAGGCCTTCTTCCCCAAGAGTAGTTCCCAGGTACTTGAAGGTGGAGGCGCGCGGTAGCTCCTGCCCGTTCACGTGGATGGAGCCTGTCATTTCATTGTCAGTGGTCAGGTATTCGGACTTCTTTAGGTTCAGCCGGAGCCCGAACTGCTCGAGGCGGTCGTGCCACTGTTGGACTCGGTGCTCGAGTTCAGCCTTGCACAGGTTGGCCAGGAACACATCATCGGCGTAGAGCAGCGTCCATGGGGCGGGCGTGTACAGGTCGTGTGTAATTGTGTCCATCACCAGAATGAACAGCAGTGGTGAGAAAGCAGAGCCCTGGTGTACGCCGACGGTAATATTAAACTCCTCTGATATCCCAGCTGCCGCTTTTACACGGCTTTTGTGACATCTGTATAGGAGTTGGACCCATTGTACGAGCAGCTCAGGCACGCCGTGATCTCGCAGTGCGTACCAGATGAGATCGTGCGGGACTCGGTCGAAGGCCTTTTCCAAGTCTAGGAAGGCGGTGTGGAGCGGGATTTTCTTCTCTCTGTGAGCCTCCATCAGCATCCGCACACCGAAGATGGCGTCGGTGGTGCCGCAGTTCTTGATGAATCCAGCCTGGTTGACGCTGATGTCGACGATGTCCCGAATGCGCTTATCAAGGACGCGTTCAAAGATCTTCATAGTGTGTGACAGTAACCTGACCGGTCTGTAGTTGGAGCAGTCCGCTGGGCTGCCCTTTCCCTTCCAGATCGGAACAGTGGTGCTGCGGTACCAGTCGTGTGGCACTTTTCCCGTGGAGACGATGTTGTTGAACAGCTCGCACAGCCACAATGCCGAGCCCGGTAGTGCCTTTTTCCAGAAGTCGGCAGGGATGTCGTCTGGTCCTGTTGCCTTACCGTTTTTCATGGCCTTGATGGCATCGGCGACCTCGCTGGCATAAATGCCTGAGACTGGGCCTTCAACTGGGTCACCTCGCGGGGTTCGTGGGTGTGGGAACTCCTCGGTGGAGATCTTCTCGAAGTATTGCCGCCACCTCTCCGCAGCGTCTCTGGGGTTGACGATCAAATTTCCCCTTTCGTCGTTGATCCCATGAAACTGGTCAATGTCCAGGGTCTTCCTGTGTCTGCTTTTGGCTAGGCGGTAGATCTCATTCTCGCCTTCTCGCGTGTTCAGCTTCTTGTAGATGTCATCGTAGTGGGAGCTTCTGGCTGTCGCTACTGCTTTCTTGGCTGCCTTTTTGGCCGTCTTGTATTCGCAGAGCTTCTCGCTGGTCTTGTCCTGAAGAAAGGCCTTGTAGAGCCGTTTCTTCAGGTGTACGGCATCTTGTACTTCCGGTGTCCAGAGCCATGTATCTCGTTCGATGCGTCTCCGTCCTGGCTTGGTGCAACCAAGCTGTTGGCAGCCGGCAGTGTGAACAGTGCTCTTCAGCATGGACCACGCTTCCTGTGGCCCGTCGACCATCTGCAGGAACTGCTCCGGTTTGATGAGGGGTCCCGCCATCTTCTTCTGGTTCCACCACTTGATTCGTGGCTGGTCTGCATTCCTTTTGTCAATCCTGGTCTTGGGCTTGCTGATCCTGATCTTCGCCATCAGCGGCCTGTGCTGACTGCTCGATTCGTACGGGTACACCTTGGCGTTGAGCACGTTTTTAGCGGCTCTTCGTCGTACGATGATGTAGTCGATCTGTGTGTGGTGGCTCCCGTTTCTGCTATGGTAGGTGAGGAGTTGAGATTCTCGCCTAATGAAGCAGGTATTCATGATGGTCATATCATGGGAGTCGGCAAAGTCCAGGATCCTCTGGCCATTCTCATTCGTATCGCCTGTGCCGTGCCCACCGTGGCACTGGTGTCCGTTTTTGTCCCGCCCTACATGACCATTCAGGTCGCCCGAGATGATGATGTCATCTTCGTGTGGGATCTGCCTGAGTTGGATGTCGAGCAGTTCCCAGAAGGTATCCTTCTCCTCCTCGTGACATCCGGTCTGAGGGGCGTAGGCGGACAAGATGTGTAGGCGCTGCCTCTCGGTCGCTACGACGATTATCATGTGAGGCGCTTAACTTCTGCGACGGAACTTTGCCAGCTTGGACTGACAACCACAGCTACACCGCCGCGGTTTTCCTTACAGCTGGTGTATATGATCTTGTAGCCGTCTATAGTCGTAGCCTTGTTGCCCTTCCAGCGAGTTTCCTGGAGGCAGCAGATGTCCAGCTTCCTGTCCCGCATGGCCCTGACGATCTCGGTCGAGCGTCCAGTCAGCGAATCCACGTTCCAGGTGGCCACCTTGAGCGTCTGGCAGTCCTCTGTTCCCCGCTTGCGTTTTTTCACACGGATCGGGTAGTCTCTGTGCGCATCGGACCCGGACGCAGTCGCCATAGCTTTCTCACACGGTGCAGGTGCGCCGTGCTTTCCACGTGGACCATTTCGTTGATTTTTGGCGCAGGCCAATGGTCTCCTGCGCCCGTCGGTTCCCCCGAACGCGGTAGCATTGGACGTGTGTTTTGTAGTGGATGTTTCCACCATGTTGATACGGCATTTGAGTACTCCAGCCGGCCTGTCGCGTGGGCCTGTCGTCGGAGGGTCTGCTCTCAGTTACGGTCAGCGTTTGACGGCTTCGCGCATCCAGGGGACACCACTTGGAGGTGGCAGACCGCTCGTCCCCTGGTTGTCGGCCAGCACTCTGCGCCGTATATGGCCACGGGGCGCACCACAGAGTTATAGATTTTCGCCTTCAGGCGCATCGGCATCTTCTTGTCACAGAGGACGCCCGTGACGGACTTCCATTTGCCCCACGCTGCATTGATCCTGGCTGCCACCTCAGTTTGTAATATAATATAATATAATATAATATAATATAATATAATATAATATAATATAATATAATATAGAATAGAATAGAATAGAATAGAATAGAATAGAATAGAATAATAGAATATATAATAGAATATATAATACAATATAATAGAATAATAGAATAGAATAACAGAGTTGGAAGGGGCCTTGGAGGTCTTCTAGTCCAACCCCCTGCTCAGGCAGGAAAACCTATATCATTTCAGACAAATGGTTGTCCAATCCCTTCTTAAAAATTTCCAGTGTTGGATCACCCACAAATTCTTCTTTTTTTGTAAAAAAGTTTTTTTTTATTTTTTACCACAAACATACAAAACAACAAATAAAACCTTCTTTCAGTTATACGGTGTGTCAGTTTGGTATATACACCTTGTGCACACCATCTATGATCTTTTCCTCTTAAACTTACGTTCATATTGTATTAATTAACTTTTCAAAGCAGTCACAACCTCTGAGGGCAAGAGGTTCCAGTGATTAATTGTTCTCACTGTCATGAAATGTCTCCTTAGTTCTTGGTTGCTTCTCTCCTGGATCAGTTTCCATCCATTCTTCTGGAAGGTTCTAAAGTAGTTCTTTACCTACCATGATTTTCCACCATACACATAGGTGGTATTCAGCCGGTTCTGACTGGTTCTAGAGAACCGGTAGTGGAAATTTTGGATAGTTTGGAGAACTGGCCGATGCCACCTCTTCTCTGCCTCCCATCGAGTCCCAGTTAATCGGGCTCCCCTGGGTCCTCTGCCTTGCTGCCGCCAGACTCCAGAGGCTCCAGAGTCGGCACCCTACTCCCAGGTGGTCCTGGCCCCATCTCTGCAGTGGACACTGGGCCCTTGTCTGAGTCCTCTCCAGACTGGTCCCCTTTCTTCCCCACTGTCCGATTCCACTGCCGTCGGCACAGGCTGCCGGCGAACCACAACACGCCTCTTCTTGCAGTCAGGAAATTTCTCTTCCTATCTTGCCTCTGTTTACTTCCTTGTAGTTTTTAAACCCATCAACACTTTTACATGTTTTCCCACTTTCAGCTTAATTGGCAGGTTCTCAGCACCAAGCAAAACAAAGATTTGCTTAATTGGAAGATTGGGTCTCTCGTTTGTGTTCCCCGAGATAAAAATGGAACGATTCCGGGGACGCGAGTCAAAATAAGCCATTACAAAATCTCAGGGCTCTGAAAACTTGGGTTTTAATTCTGTGTAAAAATATAGATTTACCTGGAACGAGATCATAGGTGCCACGTTTTTAATCGGTAAATCATACCCAGAGCCGCTTAGAGAGCGAGATGGGTGGTGTCTAAATTGGAGAAATAAATAAATAAGCAAGCAAGCAAATAAATAAATAAATAGAGCTGGAAGGGACCGAAGACATCATTATCTCCAAATTTCTGCATGCGGCAAGATTTCATGTCATCATCCGTGTGTCAATTAAAAAAATACTCCTTTGGTATTTTTAGTTGCTAGCAGAAAGGGAGTGGGGGAAAGCAGTGCATTCCTTAAATGCCTCTGATAATCGCCTTGGTAGCTGAAGCTGTTGGTGCTGTTGGCGCACAAGATTATTACTGGAGAGCATGATTGATGACTGTTGGTTATGGATGTGTCTCATTGGAGAATATACATCTTGGGAGGGAAGACCAGGGTCAAGGGTGACAATGAATTATGTGTCTTAGAGTCGGCTGCACCCATGTGATCACTCCAAATAAATCAATCCTTTTTACTCTGAAAGATGCTGCTAGAGACTTGTGATTTGAATGGGGGTGCACGTTGGAGCCCTGACACCATGATAGATGACTGTCCAACATCTGTTTGAAAAATATGGGAAGAAACCACTCTGTGAAAGCATTTATTCCACACAACGAGAGCTCTTTCTGCCAAGGAGTTGTTCCTTGTGTCAATCTGTATCTTCCATCTTTGGAATTTCGTCCCGTTAGTTCTAGTCTTACCCTCTGGAGCAAGTGGAAAGAAATTCCAACTCTCCACAATGTGACAACCCTTTCAAAGGTTTGAAGGCAGATGTCATGTTCCCTCACAACTTTTTGAAAGCTCAACATGTCTAGGTCTACAAAGGAGAATATTTGTAACTCAGGGTTTGAAACAAGAGGCCCTGGGTGCTCTCTGAGCTCGGTTGTTTTCTTGTAGACGTTTCGTTACCAAACTAGGTAACACCATCAGTGCTAGAAAGAAGTAGGGTTTGTAAAAAAAAAAGAGAGAAAAGGAAGAGGAGGAAGAGGAGAAGGATTAGGGGATCATTGGTGCTCTATAAGTTTGCTTGTTTTCTTGCAGACATTTCATTACCCAAACTAGGTAATATCATCAGCACTAGAAGGGAGTGGGGTTTGTGGAGAAGGAGTAAGGAGTGAGGAGAGAGGAGGAGGAGGAGGAAGGGAGGAGAAGGGGAGGATTAGGGGATCTAGGAGTAAGGAGTAAGGAGAGAGGAGGAAGATACTTATGGGGCCTTTTAGAGTTCTATGAACTTGGTTGGTTTGTTGCAGCCATTTCATTATCCAACGAATGATCATATTACCTACTTTGGGTAGTGAAATGTCTGCAAGAAAACAACAAGCTCAGAGAGCACCAAGGATCCTTCAAAGTGAAGTTAGTTTAAAGATCATCCAGGCAAGAGAATGTTTGATGCTATTGCATAAGGCCATAAACAACCATTTTACCCAACCCTAAATGCAGCATATTTGAGCCTCCAGAACTCGTGGGTGCTCCATCACTGTTTAAGATGAGATGGGACAAACCATTTGTGTGAAATTTTATTGGGTTTGCTGCTTGAGAAGGGGGATGGACTAGAAGACCTCCTGTTGTGGTTTGCCAGAAGCAGTTGCAGACGGCCGAGGTCTCAGAGAGCGAGGACGCAGATGAGGGGCCTGCGTGTGATGCAGGGATGGGGCCAGGACCATCATGGAGTGGAATGCTACCTTTGGAGATGGTGGAGGCTGGCAGCAGTGAGGAAGAGGTCCCCGAGGAGCCTGCGCTCAATGCGTGTGCGCGCAGGGCTGCTCGAAGGAAAGAGCAGCTGCAGCAGCACGGGCAACTTGGGAGTAAGGCTGCAAGGTAATGGCCCCTCCCTTAAGGGATAAAAGCTAGCTGAGAAACTGCAGTTCTTTGCAGGAAGCAAAGAAGTTTTTGCACTCAAGTCTTATGGATGTTGGAGGATCTTGATGGGTGTGTGGAGACATTTGTGGACTTGATTGGTGTTTGAAATATTTCTTAGCAACTTTATCTAGTGTTCTTGGCAGACTTGCTCGTTCTTATCAGAGACAACTAGTTTGTAACAGCCTTTTAACCGGGAAGGAATGAAATTCGTAAAGAATCATTAAAAGGTTTTTGCTGTTATCTTTGTTTTGTGTTTGTTTCCTTGGAACAAGGTTTGGGTCAGAACACCTCCAAGGTTCCTTCCAACTGTCATTCTGTTTATCTCAGAAGACGCCACTACACGAACTTTTAAAAGGGACAGGTAGAACATCCCTTTCCCCCCACAGTTGCACCTGAAGGAGACTCCGCGAAGCTGGAGGGTTTGGAGTGGCACTCGGCTCATGCTTACGCGGAATTGCCTTATTTAAGACGCGCCCCCACTCCTAAGAATGCAAAGATTAATGAGTTGCTCCGAGGTGCAGATTTGGAAATGCCATATGGGGAAACGGACGCCTGGCGAGTAGGCCATTTTGAAGGCCTCTGCATTCACAGCTTGCTTCTCACCCTCTGCCTGAACTGTTCTCAGGCCTTTAGCCTGCCTGCCTCTTCCAGTTTGCGTTGCTTTCGTGCTAGATTGCTTTTTTTTTCTTTCTTTTAACTCGGCGGCAGAGAGAGAAATCTGCTCATTGCGAAGCGCCCTGGGTTTTTGCCGTGCCGGTAACGAATAATCAGAAATGACAACTCAGCACCTTCAAGAGTTAACCACTGGATTGCCTGCAAACGAAACAAGAAAGGAAAGAGGTTGTAAGGGCTGGGGTTTCAAAGCCGAGGAATTAATACTTGCGTACAGTTGCATTCGTCGTGGCAGGAGAAAAAAAAACCACGTTTCTCTTTGGAGTCATGTGCTCCGATACGTTGTGCCTCTTGCTCAAGTTGACACGCCGTGACTTCCTGAGGTTGGAAAATCCACGAGAAGAGGAAAATCCACTCCTCAGCTCACAAATACAATGATTTAGGCCACCAGACTTGAAATTTTGGATCTTAGACAACTTAGAACTACACCCACCTACGGTCTGACCTAAGCTTGATACACAAAATTGTCTGCTACAATGTCCTACCTGTCAATGTCTTCAGCTTCAGCCACAATAATACACGGGCAAACAATTGATACAAACGCAAAGTAAATCGCTCCAAACACGATTGCAGAAAATACAACTTCTGTAACAAGAGTGGTCAATGCCTGGAACTCACTACCTGGCTCTGTTGTCACATCCTCAAACCCCCAAAACTTTAACCTCAAACGGTCTACCGTGGACCTCACTCCATTCCTCAGCGCACCAGTGTCCCTACCAGATGTGGTATTCAGCAGGTTCTGACCAGTTCTGGTGAACTGGTAGCGGAAATTATGAGTAGTTTGGAGAACTGACAAATACCACCTCTGACTGGCTCCGCCCCCACCTATTCTCTGCCTCTGGAGTCCCAGATGATTGGCTGGGTCTCCTTTTGTTGCCCTGCACAGGAGAACGGAGCTGGAAAGCAGGTGAGTGGGGTGGGGAGGGAATGGGGATTTTGCAGTCACTTTCTCCTGCCACGCCCACCAAGCCACACCCACCAAGCCACACCACACCCACCAAGCCACACCACACCCACAGAACTGGTAATTTTCTTTGAATTCCTGCACTGAAGGAATTTTCACGACAGACCAGGATGATTAATTGCAAACTTCAAGAAGATAACAAGGCACAGTCCGTTGGAAGAATGCCATCCAAGATCAACCTCAGCCAGTAATAAACATGCTTTGCTTCTAGCAATGCTGTGTTTTAAACGTCCCTCCTATATACTATTCAACCCCCCCAGCTGCATCCAACGAAGGGGTCATGGCCACTTCCTCTCCTGTAAGCCATGTTGTTTCCTTCTCCGTTCTTTTCTGTGTGACCTAGGAGGAAGAGGGGATGGGCCTGGGTCTTTCTCTGACTGCTCAGCTGGCCTCTGCCCTTCCTCAGCCTCCTCCACAACCTCTGGAGCTACACTTCCACCCCCTGTCGGCTGTTCCTCCTCTCCCTTGGAGTCAGTCTCCAACAGGGGCATGACAGGGCATTTGTAATTGCTACAACCTCGTTCCTTGGTTCCTTTGCATTGCAATCTAGAAAATGTCCACTTGGTCAATTATATTTTCAAATTTTCAGGACTCCTGGACATTTCAGCATTTCCTCATCATTTTTCTAGTCCTTTCCTGTGGTCCCTACCGCCCCCCTGTTTAGCTCAATGGAGCTTGGATATTCTTATATTTTGGATTCAGCACACCAAAACATTTAAGCATTTTAATAGAGATTTTATCTCATATCTGTTTTTATTGGATGTGGGGCCGTAATATGTGCCTCTTGGTGCATTACTCTGTTTTTATAGAAGCTGTTACCACCCAGCCCTGAATTCTTGGAGCTTTGGTAAGTTGTAAATCTACCTCATGGCTCACCATCCCAATAAAAGGTTAATGGCAATACACAAGCTGCATAAATAAATACTTGGAGAGACTTAAATTTGAATGGTTTTTCTCATCGTTCCCACTTCCCTTACAAACACATTGACTTGGCGATAAGTTCTGCTGTGGGAAATTTATACCGTTTTTGATCTACTGAGATAGAAGGGAACGGAATAGAGTAGAAATTAGAAGAGAATAGAATATATAGGAAGAGAATAGAAATTAGAAGAGAAGAGAAGAGACATTAGAATAGAATGGAATGAAATAGAATAGAATAGAAATTAGAATAGAATAGAAATTAGAAGAGTAGAATAGGAGTTAGGGACCTTGGAGGTCTTCTAGTCCAACCCCCTGCTTAGGTAGGAAACCCTACACCATTACAGACAAGTGGTTGTCCAGTCCCTTCTTAAAAACCTCCAGTGATGGAGCACCCACAACTTCTGAAGGCACGTTGTTCCACTGATTAATTGTTTTCACTGTCAGGAAATTTTTCCTTAGTTCTAGGTTGGATCTCTCCTTGGTTAGTTTCCATCTGTTGCTTCTTGTCCTGCCTTCAGGTGCTTTGGAGAATAACTTGACCCCCTCTCCTTTGTGGTAGCCCCTCAAATATTGGAAGACTGCTATCATGTCACCCCTAGTCCTTCTTCTCACTAAACTAGAACTACATGCAGAGTCGATGGGCTATTGTTGTTTACTCACCTCTTGAAACACAATATGCTAGTTTGTATTGAGACTTACACTGGTCACCAGTTTCCTTCCAGAGACAACCGAATAATTAATGGGCTGGTTTCACTCTTTACTAATCTAAATAGCTTAGCTTATCAATGCATTTGTAGGATTGCTTTGTCCAGCAGAAAACTGACCATTTTAAGTCTGTACCGGAGACATGTGTGCCCTACTCTGGGTGTAAATGTTTTGAGGTGAATTTGACCATCAGGTAGGGAGAAGATTTTTCAGTGACCATGAACTCTCAATTAAGACAATAAAGACTTCCAAATTGGCTATCAAATTAAAAAAGATTGTTATCCATCTGGCTTTCTGAGGTATTTATTATTTATTTAGGAAATGTATATATGGAGGCTAGCCACAAGAAACAGAAATGACACCATGGAACTAGTGTAAACCAAGCAGAAAAATGAAATTAAACATTGTGTTGTATTGAATATTACTGGTTGGCTTTTGGTTGCCCTCTGTGTTTCTACAATGGTGTTTGAACTCAACAGAAAATAATAGCCACAAGAGTTGTAATGATAACCGAGTCTTAACTTGGTTATATTCTGAGTAGCTGCTGAATGTTGAAATCTATGGGACGTCCATCTTAAATCCCATTGATTTTAATTGGTCTGTTTTAATGGCTCAACAAATCTGAACCACAATCAAATGCAAATACATTTGCTCTGCTGTCATTAGCACCGTGGGTGTTTTATGATTATTGCTCTAGGGCTTAAAAATTGTGTTTATCGTTTTGCTCTGGAGTAGCTTCGCGGGCTGAAAACCATGGGGGAAATGAATATAAGGTAGGTTGAGTAAAGGAAGTTTCATAAATCAAAAGAGAGGAGTAATTATTGTTTCGTAGGTTGCAATCATCAAATCATAGGGATACTTCTACGCATGAAAGGCTAAGCAGAGGTCGGCTGCTGCCGGTTCACACTGGTTTAAGTGAACTGGTTGTTAAGATTCTGCACAGTTCGGTGAACCGGCAAATCCTACCATTGGCTGGCCCCACCCCCATTTATGTTTCAGCCTGTTTTCTGGGCCATTTTTTGGACCTAAAACATCATGGGCTCTTCCCTGATACCACTAGATGACCTCGCTAGGGCTCGCTGCCTTAGAAGATTGAAGAAAATCCTCAGGGACGACTCGCACCCTGGTCAGCCCTTCTTTACTCTGTTACCATTGGGTAGGAGATAGAGAAGCGGAGGCAGCCGCACCAACAGTCTGAAGAACAGTTTCTACCCGTGGCTGTCAGACTCCTGAACGGAAAATAACTTCATGTCAACATAGTCGGATAGACTTGCAGGGCCGGCGTGTTGTGCAACAAGGTCACGTGGTGTTGTAAGATTGGGACTGGGTTAGGGACTTCTGTTCTCACTGTGAATTGTGTTGGAGGTGTGTGTGCATGAAGGGAGGCTCAGCCAATCTCATTCTACACAGGTTGTACTCTGACAATAAAGGTAATAATAATAAAAATGGTCCTTTCTAAATGCTGTGCGTGCGCGCTCACTGAACCGGTTGTTACACTGGTTGAATCGCACCACTGGGGCCAAGTCAAATTACCTATCGCTCACTCTCTTATACAGGCAACAGTCAAATAGGATGTAACTTTGAATCCTGGCCTTTTAATTACTCTACTCTCAGAGGCTAGCGTGGAAGCAGAAGGGGTGGTATCTGGTAAACCCAGGTAGTCCTCGAGTTACAACTGCATTTTTGAGCCCAGCATTCCCATTGCTAAATGAGACAGGCACCTTTCTTGCCATTGTTGTTAAGCGAATCACTGCAGTTGTGAAGTTAGCAACATGGTTGCTAAGTGAATCTGGCTTCCTCATAGATTTGGTTTGTTGGAAGGTTGCCAAAGGGGATCACAAGATCCCAGGACATTGCAACAGTCATAAATACTTGCCAGTTGCCAAGCTTCTGAATATTTTTTGAGGTTTTTTTTATTGTTTTATATCATACATTTCCTTTCTATGTTGAGCAGTGTGCTCTCTAGGTGTCCAAGGCGTTAACATACAAATATCATCATTGTCATTATTATCCTTATCTCTCTCTCTCTCTCTCTCTCTCTCTCTCTCTCTCTCTCTCTCTCTCTCTCTCTCTCTCTCATCTATCTCTCATCTATCCATCTATCTCTCATCTATCTATCTATCTATCTATCTATCTATCTATCTATCTATCATCTATCATCAATCAATCAATTAATCAATCTCCTATCTATCTATCTATCTATCTATCTATCCATCCATCCATCCATCCATCCATCCATCCATCCATCCATCCATCCATCTATCTATCTATCTATCTATCTATCTATCTATCTATCTATCTATCTATCTATCTATCCATCCATCCATCCATCCATCCATCCATCCATCCATCCATCCAGAGGTGGTATTCAGCAGGTTTTAACCAGTTCTGGAGGACCAGTAGTAGAAATTTTGAGTAGTTCGGAGAACCGGCAAATACCACCTCCGACTGGAAATTTTACAGTATCCTTCCCCTGCCACGACCAACTAGCCACGCCCACAGAACCGGTAGAAACCAAATTTTAAATCCCACCACTGTATCTGTCTGTCTGTCTGTCTGTCTGTCTGTCTGTCTATCTGTCTACAAATATGTGATAATATGTAAACAAATATGCAATAACACCAATCATATTATAGCTTATATTATCTTCCATTATAGTATTGATTATATAACCATCAGAAATATTTACTCATCTGTTTTTCTTTTTCCTATAAACCATATTTCAGCAAATTCCACTTCTCTAACCTCAATAGCTGTCATTAAACCATTTATAGAATAGTTCCCACTTTATTAAATAGTTCGAATCTCCTTTTCCTTTAATTTCTAGGGTTAATCTATCCATCTCTGAACATTCCAGAATCTTTTTTTTTTATTATAAACCTCTGAATTTTGACCACGTGACCACGGGGAATGCTGCCATGGTCGTAAGTGTGAAAAAAGTCCCTTTTTTTTCGGGGCCGCAATAACTTCGGACCTTCAAAAATACATATTATTCACTTTCTTTTATTTAATAACAAAGCCTTTTATGGCATCGTGGAGACCAAGAGATTTACTGCAGCATAATTTCTTGTGGGCAAGAGCCCATTCTGTCCATGAAAGCTTTTTGCTACCATAAATCTGTGAGTCCTTAAAACGTCACAAGATGCTTGTGCTGTTTTTTTTTTCCTTTCCTTTTTTTGCTGGTAGAATAACATGGTAACCTCTTTCGAAGTAGATTTATTCATTTATTTTCCTTTGCCTGATAAAAAAAGGCAGAAGGCTTTTGATTGTGGAGCAGATAAAATGGTAGAATTTTTCCAATGTAAGTTAGAAACATTGAAAACTAATGGTAGGAAAACACCTAATGGTCCATTCGTCTGCCCTTTGTGGTTTTATTTTATTTTATTGTACATATAGCCTTTGACATAGCACCACAACGGATCACAGGATTTATG